ATTTCTTAAAGTTTCATTATTTTCCTTTTTTTACAATGTTTGATTAATACTTAAAATACTATCAATTCATACTTTCAAATACAAAACAAGTAATTGATATTTCAAGAAAGGAAAAACTTTGGGAAATACTAGATTGGTCTATGTATTGTTTTTAATGTGAAAATGGAAGAGTTTATTTTTTAAAATTTTATATTTTTAATTTTTTTATTAAAATTAAATTATTATTATTTTTATATATCAATTTATTTTATTTCATCTTAAAAGTCTTTAAAAAATTGAATTTCAAGTTTATCTTCACACATTATAACACCCACAAAAGTTAAAAATCAAGAACACTATAATTTAAATTAGACATAGAATTAATTTGTAATTAAAATATTATTTTTATTCAAAAGTTTTATCTTTTTTTTTTTTTTTACATACTGTAAAATTAAAATTGAAATTAAACTCAAATTTTTTTTTTTAAAAAAAAAGAAACTATTTTGTACTGTTTTGACCATTTTCACAAGAACCCATCAATTTAGAGAACATAAAGATTAATTTTATGCAGTAAAAATATGGGCAAAAATTCAATAACATATATGTATACATATACATATACATATACATATACATATATATATATATATCCTGTATTTTATATCACTAAGTTACAAAGTCGTGGGCGTTTATATTTCCCACATGTCCTTTCATATACCTCATATATTGATGCATACAAACATTAAGTATTATATTCTGTTTTTGCCTCTTTTAGTCTCAGGTCTATTTCTAAAACTAAGTTTTTTATAAATATATACATACAAATTTACTTAAAATCCGCCAAGGGAAAAGAGAAAAATATATATATTTCTTAATTTTTTAAATTTTTTCCTTATTGTTTGTAAAAAGACTTAATTATTTTTTTATATTAATTAACTAATTAAACTATCTATATAGATTACTTGTATTATTAGATTTAATTAGTATAATTAATTAAATTTTTTAAAAATTAATTCAATAATATCCATACCCAAAGCAATGTAAGTAGCAACTATCTCATTAAAGAATATAATAATATCTATGGTCCCAATTTATAAAAAAAATTGAATTATAATCAATTTGATTTATAAATCAACTCTACCTTGCTAATAAATTGCATATAAAAAAAAAAGTAACTAAATATATTAAACTTGTAAAAAATAAAATACCAAATTTTACAAAATATAATATGTATATATATACATACACTCACACACAAGTAGTCAAGATATTCTTTATTAGAATCATAACCCAACAAGAAATTCACACTGCAACTTCACTCTCAGATGATTAACCCAATCTAATCCTATAAATAATCCCCACACCTCCTAATTCTTCACCTTTTATCCTTCATATCATACAACCCCTATCATTATACACACACACACACACACATCTCCTTTTTCTCTCTCTGAAAATACATCGATGGCGGAGAAACCCAGCTCTCTCGTCTTCACCGTTCGAAGGCAAAGCCAGAGCTGATAACTCCGGCAAACCAACTCCTCACGAAACAAAACTGCTCTCCGACATCGACGATCAAGAGGGTCTTCGTTTTCACATTCCTGTAATTCAGTTTTACAGAAACAATCCCTCCATGCACGACAAGGATCCAGCTAGGGTTATCAGACGTGCATTGGCAGAAACTCTGGTGCATTATTACCCGTTCGCCGGTCGTCTCCATGAAGGTCCTGGCCGGAAACTTATTGTGGAGTGCACCGGAGAAGGTATTCTGTTTATTGAAGCTGATGCTGACGTCACGCTTGGTGAGTTTGGTGATGATCTTCGACCTCTATTTCCGGGCTTAGGGGAGCTTCTTTATGATGTTCCTGGTTCATCTGCAGTTCTGGGCACTCCTCTGTTGTTAATTCAAGTAAGTATAATCTCTTTATTTTCTTTAAATAATAATTTTTTTTTTTAATTTTTAAACTTTTTTTGTTCATTTTTTATAAAACTAAATTATATAAATACTATAATGATTTTTAATTGTTAATTTAAAAATTACATTTAATTGTTAATTCAATTATTAAAAAGAAGATAATTATTAATTCAAGTAAGTATAATCTTGGGTTTTTTATTATATATTCAAATATAAAAAGATTTTAAATAAATATTCATGAAAAAAATAGTCATGCTAACAATATATTCTCCACCTTATAAAAAAGATTTTAAACTATGAAACTTAAAAAAAAATCTAAGTATTAAAAAGTATATCAATTGATTAATTATGCATAAATTAAGTAATTTATATATATATACATATATATTTAAAAAAAATAACAAGATTCATGTAATGGATGGTATCCTGTTAGAGTCATGCCAACTTCGCATGTAGTTGGCCTTTTAGCACAAGTTACTCAGTAATTTTGATTTATATATATGTATGTAAAGTATTCAACTATATACAATTGAATTTTAATTTTTGATTTCTTTAAAAATACAATAGGTTACACGCCTGAAGTGTGGCGGCTTTATCTTCGCTCTCCGCCTGAACCACACCATGAGCGATGCATTTGGTCTCGTCCAGTTCATGACTGCTGTGGCGGAGATGGCCCGAGGAGCAAACTCTCCCTCTGTCCAACCCGTCTGGGAAAGACACTTACTAACCGCGAGAGACCCGCCGCGAGTGACCTGTGTTCACCATGAATATGACGAGGTGGAGGACATTAAGGGCACCATCATCCCTGTCGATGACATGATCCACCGCTCTTTCTTCTTCGGTCATACTGAAATGGCCGCCATTTGTCGTCTCCTCCCTCCTCACCTTCGTCGCTCTTCCAACTTCGAAGTCCTAACTGCGTGTCTATGGCGTTGTCGTACCATCGCCCTCCAACCAGACCCGGAAGAAGAAATGCGGATTATATGCATCGTTAACTCCCGTACTAAATTCAACCCACCATTACCCACTGGTTATTATGGTAATGGGTTCGCTTTTGCTGTTGCTATAAGTCAAGCAAAGAAAATACATGCAAACCCATTAGGGTATACTTTACAGTTAGTGAAGAAAGCAAAAGGGTTGGTTACAGAGGAGTACATGAGATCGGTGGCAGATTTAATGGTGGTGAAGGCTCGGCCGCATTTCACGGTGGTTCGGAGCTACCTGGTGAGTGACGTGACCCGAGCTGGATTTGGGTCAATAGACTTCGGCTGGGGTGAGCCAGTGTATGGTGGTCCGGCGATGAGTGAAGTCGAAGCGATTCTGGGAGTGGCGAGCTTCTATGTTACGTTTAAGAATAAGAAGGGAGAGGAGGGGATTCTTGCGCCATTATGCTTGCCAGCGCCGGCTATGGAGAGATTCGTGAAGTTACTGAATGAGATTTTGAAAGATGAACCAATTGATTCTTCTGAAGAAAATAATAAATCAGTGTTTATTGTGTCAGCCATGTGAAATATGAGTGAGTAATTAAGATGTATTATGGTTATGTATATTTTGTTTGGAATGTATATTTGCACGAATTTGGATATGTAACTTAGTTTTTGTTTATATATATATATATATGATTTTAAGTTTATAGATCTGACGAGCCATGCCTCAAAGAAAG